GGGTTAGATGAGAGTATGTGTGCCATATACTGTAGGAGGGTTCACTTCGGAATGATGGATGTGATTTGAAAGAAACCCCCCCCCTCCCCCCAAAAAAAATGCTTAATAGACACCCATAACAGATGTCATTGCTTACCAAACACCCACTGGTTTTGGTCCTGGTTCTAGGGTTTTAAAAACCATAGAAATTGCCTAACAAAATCTCATAACAGATGGCATTGCTTACCAAGCACCCTCCGATTTAGTCCCGATTTAAGAGGTTTAAAAACCGAAAAACTGCTTAAAACCTATAAAAAAAGATGGCTTAAAACCCTAAAACAGAAGGCATTGCTTACTTGGGTTCTTAAGGATGTTGCGTGCAATGGCGACGCGTTGTTTCTCGCCACCGCTAAGTCTCAGTCCACGCTCGCCCACGACAGTGTCATAACCTGATGAAGTGTTTCAACCGGATTTTTTTAGCTTGAGGGTGAGTTTAAACCAAGTTTAATGGAGGGTTCATTGTTCTATGGCGTCGGGAGGAGTTGATGAGAAAGGGCACGACTGTAATGTGATGGAAGTGTTGTGCATACAAGTATCATCCAAACAGAGATTCAGACTAAAAATAGACTACACCTACAACAATGGTTGAAATACATCTTCGCAGTACAAATAAATAGAATTAAAAATCATAATGAATGTCTGAATCCATGGGCACACCTGCATCGAATATCTGGATGCGTTCGTCCATGTCAGCTGCTTTGCTTGCTTCACGTATTTCGGTGGACGCGGCATCGAGTTTGCCATATCTGATGTTGTACTCGATCTGAGGGTATAGGGTGTTTTAGGATTTGAGTGGTTAGTAGATGTTGTTATCCATCTGGGTTTGTCCGTTTTACGCTTTAAGGGTAATTAGTTCGAGGGGGTATAAGTTTAGGGGTTTTAGGGTTAAGGATTTTAGCTAAATTATATATATAATATATAGATATATATATATATATATATATATAACTTATATGGACTTATATATATATATATCACA